ATTACAACTCTTTTTATTCGAGTTAAATTTCAATGTATAATCATCATTCCCATGATGATTATCAATTTTATTATATATATTCACAAAATTTTTAATAAAATTATATATATCAAAATATTTATTATTCTCTAAATATGATTTTTCTATTTTTAAATGATTCTCTTTCAAATCATATAGTCACTGTGACCCACTCAGACTTTTGATAGAATATAATTTTGCCCAAAAAATTTGATAATTTTATAATGAAATAAATACTAAATATATATATATATAATAAAATATTTTTCTTTTAAAAGCAAAAGTTAATGAAATATACTAATGATGACAATAAAACTATCAAGAAACGTTGAGTGCACGATAAGATTCACATGCAAGAAAAACCTGAGTGGAGATCATATGACCGATTAATACTAACCTTTAAATTGTTTTTTTTATGTTTATATAAATTGATTTTTTTTTATATAAATTTTGTAGATTGATTTATATATTAATATGAAAATTGTTATATAAGCCTGATTTTTTAGTTTGATAAGAAGATGTAAAATTTTAAAATAAATTAAATTAAATTTGTAACTTTGATTTGTTCTAAATTAAATAAAATAAACTCGTAACATTTATCTATTTTTAGAAAACTTTAGTTATGAAAGAAAAATATGAGAATAAAAAATTGTAATGTAAGTACTGACAAAAATTGTGAGTATGTTCAAAATAAATATACAAGTTGAGTATCTTGTAGAGATTTCATTAATGTGTAATTGTTAATATGATATGAAAATTGATAAGGTAATCTAAAAAATAAAGAAAGGATTAAGTGAAATAAAAAGTTTCATTCATATTTACAAAGTTGAGGGAATATTGTTTTTATCAATTCAAAGACGATTTTTCCTCTCAATCCATGTGGTATGAGTACACCATCAATTCCATTCATCTGTTTGTAAAAATAAATAAAAAAATCAACATATAAAAAAATAAAAATAAATACGTACCGATGACATGACGTAGCGATGACATGACGTAGCGATGACATGACGTAGCGATGACATGACGTAGCGATGACATGACGTCATGATGACGTAGTGAGGACATCGGAAAATTATAATATAGATAATAAAAAATAAATAAAAATAAAACGCGACCAATTATTTATTTCATTCCAAATATTCAAAATAAATTTATTCTGCTTCAATTATTCTTAATCAAATTCGTTATTCGTTAAATTAATTCTATTTCGTTTACTCGACGAATCTTATTCTATTACGACGTTATTCAATCATATCTACATTCTAAAATCATTCAAAATCTTCATATATATTTAATAACAAATTATGATAATAACAATTTTAAAAAATTGATAATAATAACTATTGAGATATGAAGCTTACGATTTAAACAAGCCAACGATTAAGACGACATATACAACAACTTGACGATCAAAATGATAAATCATTTGGACGACAAGCTTGCTATGACAGCTCAGATGGATTATGGGAAGGCTTTTCAGAAGAAGGGGAAATGATAATCGAGATTTTTATTTAACTTAAATTGTTATTATAGCCTTTAACTATATATTTCGTTTAAATGGTTTTTTTATAATACATATATAAATACCTTATTTTTTATTTATTTTTGGTATCATTTTTTAGTTTTGGAATAAATTTATTATAAATAAAAAATTACCACCGTTATCTTTCACCACCGTTATCTCTATATAACAATTGCTGATATAAAAAAAATTTGCGTCTAAAGAATTTTAAGTGATAAAAAAGGTTAATTAATTCATAGAAAATGCCTCAATCGATAATGGTTAAAAAAAACTACATATTATAAAATTAGCAACTTACATTGACAAAAGGTCAACAAACTAATATAATACTCTGCTACCATTTTTAGACAATGTTTTATAAAATGGACTAAAAGGAAAAATTAATAGGCCTAACCAAATCAACACCATTCTATAAAACATTGTCTAAAATGATAACACTAGACGATATACTAGCATATAAATAATTAAAACAATATAAGACATTTATAAAAATAATATTTTTTAGTACAAAATCTATTTATTACAGTATAAAATATTTTCGATTGCTGATAAATTTGAGTAAAGAATTACAAGTGATAAAAAAGGTTAATTAATTCATACATATGCTTCAGATAATGGTTTTTAAAAACCACATAAGGCTATATAATTCTTAGCAGGTTGCATTGACAAAAAATCATGAAACTAATATAACTCTCTGTTACTTTTGAGATTATATTTATTTTCCAAAATCTAAAAAAATCCCATAATCAATAATAATAATATTTCAGGAATTATTATATTCGAACTATTATACTCAAACTTTTATTTTCTTTAAAACTAATAAAAATTAACAACTGAAAAATTGATTTCCAGTAATAATAATTTTTCAATACATGAAAAAAATCAATAATATTTTAATAATAATAAATAAACAAACATATGCCTAGAACACCTCCCTTATTTTTAAGAGGCATTCTCAGGACACTATTCAAAATCTTTTAAAAAAAAACTATTATTCTTTGTAATATGTCAATTTTCATATTGTTGTTGACACCATTAATTGATCGGTCGTATTGTTCATCATTTTTTTCATCGTCGAGTTATTGGTCTTTAGCAATTTCGTTAATACATCATTGCATAATGGATCATTTGCTTCGAATCATCTAAAGTTATCGTATTATCGATCACTAAGTTGGTAGTTAAATGATTGGCTGCATCCGAACTTGAAAGTTGACATTGTGGATAGTTTGATAGTTGGTCTTATTATAGCTTATTCTGAATCATTGGTGTAATATTCTCTCAATCATTGTAAATGGAATTTTCCTCAGTCATAATCAACGATTATATTTTTCCTTGAAACAAAATAATCTATCCTTCAATTTCCATTTATTTTTATTATTAATTTAAAATAATTAATATATTTTATTATTTCAATTTTTCACAAACATACCCCCTTTTTAATCGACTCGCGAACTTTTTTTTTTGAAAAAATGTACTTTACCATTTTTCAATTTTACTAACAAACTCCCTTTTTATCGACTCTTTTATTTCTCGGTGCACATGTTAAATATAAATTAGTTTCTTTCTACCAAATAAATTGATTTCTTATCTTAACATTCTATCAATTTAAAAAGTTAACACAATTTACATTACTAAAAAATAATTTCCCTTTTCAACTTTTCCTTTTATCTCTCAATTGTTTTTTTTTTAACATAAGAAAAAACTATTAATCACGATATGCTTCACTTCACTTCACTTAAGAACAAATATTTAATAAAACAAAAACCTGCAATATACATTTTTGTTAAGCCAAACAAATTATCAACATATTCAGTTATATGTATCTCATATACTAAATTCTTACCTTTACCTTTACATACTTCTAACTATTCAAGTATATATATATACATATATACCAAACTATATCTCAGTTTTTTTTTATATTCTTAAACAAATATTTTAATAATCATAACTCGAAATGAACCGAACAAATATTTTAATAATCACAACTCAAAATGAACCGAACAAATATTTTAATAATCACAACATGAACCGAACAATCCATATTCCTTTTACCCCACCAATCTTATAATACAATTTAACACAACTTACCAAAATAATTAAAAATACCTATAACTATATATATCCAATTTCACTTCTAATTTTCTCTATTTCTTTCCCGTGGACTAAGCGACCCATATTTTTTTTACCTCACCAATTTTATAATACCCTTCAAAATTTACCTCCTTCTACCACACTTTCAATCTTAAATTTTTTCCTTACTAATTTCGCTGGTATAATCTCTAACACCGGATATTTATCTCTTTCAAACTTCCTTTCCTCCGACTGATTAAAATATTTTCTTGTATACTCAAATTTTTTCCTTACTAATTTCACCGGAAAATTTTGTGATGCAGGTAATTTCTCCCTTTCTAAATTTGAGTCTTTATAAATTTCATCACCACTCATATAACTATCCTTCAACCCCGATTCCCTTGAAATCAACTTTTTGTCTACCTCAAAATTAAAATTTTCATCCCTTGTTTCCAAAATATTATCCATTTCTACATCAACAGACATATTATCAATATCCAAATCAATATTTTCCTCAATTCCTGAATCATACATTATACCTCTAGGATTTTTATTATTCACACAATCAGGTTCCTCCTGATTTATTTTTTCATTTATAATTACTTCCTCCTTCTGAATTTCCTCAGAATTATTTCTCGAATTTTTAATTTCCTCAATTTTTAATATTCCAATTTCCGAAATTCCATTTATTTCATTATCACAACTTTCCTGATTATCGTTTTTCATATTCTCCATTTTACTATTCTCCAAAATTTCATTTTCCACCAATTCATTTTCCGAATTTTTAATATCCACCTCCTTTACGGATGTTTCTAACTTTTCAATGCTTTTATCATCCATTTTCCCTTGAAATATATTCAAAAATTTATTTTCTAATCCACATTTAGATATCCAATTCCATCCCAAAATCGCATCAACCTCTTCTTTTATTATCCACAAATCCAAAAATTGTACTACCCCTTTAACTAACACTGGTAAATTCACCTTCCCCAAAACCGAAATTACAGTTCCATTTAACTGTTTAATTATCATTTTATCATTTATTAATTCCTCAATTTGAAAATTCCTTATACCCCATTACCGATATAGTTGCCCCCATATCTAATAACATTACAATTTCCTTGTTTCCCACATTAATTTTCACCCTCGGACATTCATCATAGTTAATATCTTCTCTCACCATTGGTACAATACAAATTTGTATATTTGCCCTGGGCCACTCATTCCCCTTATTTTTAACCACTAATTTATTACTATTTTTCCTTTCTTCAATTTCCAAATTATTTTCAACATTTAGTACATTTCCTAATAATAAAGTTTTTCCCTTGTCCAATGGGTTTTCCGATGCAATAACCCCATATATTGATTCCTGTCCACCATATAGTCATGTGACGGGACAATCTCTCGCATAATGCCCAATGTTACGACATTTGAAACATGTTACATCTTCGACATTCCTTTTTTCATAGATATTTCTTTCCCCCTTTTTTATATATTCTACCTCCGGAAATGCTTTAGAATTTTCTTGTTGATTCTTAAAACACTTATCATGACCATGACCAAAATTTCCACAATTTCCACAATTTCCACAAGCCTTTTGATTTTCATTCAACAATTTGTACGCCGAAACATAACATTCCTCAGTTTTATGCCCTTTATTTCCACACCTTTTACAAATTATAATTAACACATTTGGATTTCTCCTTTCATTACATCCTCTACTTATATGTCCAAATTTTCCACAATTATAACACTTTTTATTTTCATTATCCTCATTCCGATATACTCCATTTCCTTCATTCTTCTTTGCCAATTCTTCTATTTTAATTTTCATTTCTGTCATTTCTGTTCTCAACATCTCTTTTTCCTTTTTAATCAATTCCAATTTTTCCATTTTCTTCCTTTCTTCCATTTCTTTTTTTCTATCTCTTTCCTTTCATTTTCCCATTCTTCCCTCATTTCTCTTCTCATTTCTTCAATATTAATCTCCTTTTTTTATGTTCCATTTTTCCAATTTCATTTTCCTTTTTTTTTTTCATTTTCTCCAATTTTTCCATTTTCTCTTTTTTCAGACTCTCTAACGAAATCTGTTTTATTAATATCAATTTCACATACATTTTTTTCAGAATCTCTGACGATATCTGTTTTTAATATTTCCTTTTTTTCATTTTCATTTTCATTTTTCACTATATATATTTCATTAAATAAATTTTCAATATTTCTCTTAAATTCTTAAATTTTTTTATTTTTCTCCCTTTTCACTTGCTCAAACACTCTTACTCGACATATATCTTTATTCCCATTTCTTTTCTTATACCAAAAATATATTATAACCCATAATATAAAAACCCCTAATATTCCAAAATACATTTTTAACGGCTCAACATTTTTGAACTCAAAATAATTGTTGGTCTTAATATTTTTGCGATTTAGCATTTCCTTAAAATTATTTTTACTTTAAACTCTTAATTTTCAAATTTAAAATTCTTTAACTCTACAATAGACTTATCAATAACTTTATCAAAAAAATTTTACCTGACTTAAATGATAAAATATACAATATCGAAATTATTACGAAAATCCCTAATACACAATAATACATAAAATTTCAACAAAAATATAAACTTTTACCTTATTTTTACGAATTTGTTTTTTCCTTTTTATAAATCTTTGGCCTGTTTCGTTATAGTAGTCATTGTTGTTCCGAATTAATTTTGAGATTATATTTATTTTCCAAAATCTAAAAAAATCCCATAATCAATAATAATAATATTTCAGGAATTATTATATTCGAACTATTATACTCAAACTTTTATTTTCTTTAAAACTAATAAAAATTAACAACTGAAAAATTGATTTCCAATAATAATAATATTTCAATACATGAAAAAAATCAATAATATTTTAATAATAATAAATAAACAAACATATGCCTAGAACAGTTACCATTTTAGACAATGTTTTATAGAATGAACTAATAAGGAAAAATTTATAGGCCTTACCAAATTAACATTTCTTGAAGAAGAGAATATAAACGACCAATCCAAATCATACAACTATATGGTGGCTAGAGCTTCCATGATGGAAGCTAGATAAGTAATCTAGAAAATTTTTGCGAGATATTAAATTTCTAAAAGATCATCTTCCATTTTTATTGATATATAAACGACACACAGTTGACCATTATTGCTTATCTAAAATATGCAATCATATGCACTCAGCGTCAGCAGCTATAATAATCTTAAATTATATAGCCACACAAATAATAGATGCTGGTTAATTTGAAGTCATAGCCATGACACTCACGATGGTAACCCATATCAGAATTTATTATGTTAGATAAATTGATAAAACAAAAACAGTAAAAATCTTTAGAAGAAATTATGCAAATATATTGAAGGCTTGAGTTATTTACACGGCAAGGATGTCATATTAGGAATGAAACATTTTGTAACTATAAAATAAGATCCAGAGTGATATGATGAAAGTAATTAAGATTTTATATAATATTGTCGCACCACTTCTACTTGGTATATTATATCTTAAAATTATAGTAGTTTGTTAAGAAAAATATATTCTTATTAAAAAATTAACTCATAGAAGAAAAAAATAGCTTTCCTAAAAACACGTAAAAAAAGAGAAGAAAAGATATCTAATTTATTACATCCATTGTGGGATGAATAATAAGAAGTTTAATTTTTTAATAAATAAATTGCAAATTGTTACTTATATTTATTATTAAAAGCATTTATTATTAAAATTTTATAATTATTAACTGTAATATATTATATAACTGTCAAATACGTCTGTAATAGTGGCATTTTACCTAATATTTTATAAAAAATTATATATTATAAAGGATTATAAACTATGTATCTAATTACTTTTTTAAAATAAATATCTTATGCTCATTTGGATTTGGACCTTGAAAATAATTTTAGGAAGAGCCATGATAATTAAATTTAAAAATCAATAATGCCAAATTGAACTCTGGTAAATACAATATTAAATTTGTTAATTTTCAAATAATAAATGATTATATTTATTATATTAAGGTTATATAATAATTTAAATAATAAAAGTCAATTAATTATCAACTGCTAATGCTAAATTAATATTTAGTGAGTGAAATTGATATATTTGACCCAGAATTTGATTGCAAGCTGACAGAGTGAACATATAATTTATATGTATTACTCTAATCTAATAATTAAAATATAATTCATTTAATAAAAATTTATAGTTTTATTAATTATGAAATAATAAAAATCCATATATTACTCAATAGAATTATAAAAGAAATCGTTCAAGGGGCAAATAAAAAAATTTATTTTTAGTTCAAGGGGATATTAAGGAGCAATTAAAAAAAATTTTTTGCTTCAGGAGGCTATTCAAATTTTTCGGGAGGCTCGAGCCCCTGCGCACCCCCTCTAGCGACGCCACCGATGAAAAGGAATGTTGAGCCTGCTACATAAAGCTTAGCTGAGCTCGTGATTGCCCAATTCAGTTTAAAATTGCTGCTAGGTAAAATAAAATCTACAAATTCCTATCCCCGATCCTTGATTAGTTCAAATCTTAATCTAAGTGCTTAAAATAAAAAGTTAAAATATTGGTTATATGATAAAAAATATATTTGTAAAATTCTCACCTGTTTTATGGTAAATCGCCAGTATAGATTTGAAAAAGAATTTCCTTTCAAAAATGTGTCCCTTCCCACAAGATCAATATAGCCGCTTTTATTATTATTAATTTGAGATATTTGCATCGTTAAAGCCTTAAGTTTCGTGTCGTGATTTTTAAACTTTCAAAATTATTGAGAAATGTGACATCGAACAATCAAAACCTTATTTACTACTTCAGTATTTATTCTAACAAGTTGGAGAAATCCAGCGTAGGAATCATCATATCTTTGTTTGAGCATATGAATATTATTTGATTCTCGAATTTTTTTATTATTTTTCTAAAAAAATTATATAAAGAAATTTACTTTAAAAATGGGTGACATAGTTAAAGGACATCCAAATATGTCTATTAATTCTGAATATAGTGCATCTTGTAATAAAATTATGCATGTAGCAAATAAATACCCAAAACACATAATGACACAATTAAACACTCTAAGACAAAGAACCGAATTATGTGATTTGATTATAAAGGTTAATTCTAAAAGTTTCTTTGCACACAGGTTATTAGCATGATATATTCATAAATCATTTTTATTTTAGAGCTGTGTTAAGTGCTGCTTCACCATATTTTTATGCTATGTTTACTGGAGCAATGTCTGAAAGCAGAGAATCTGAAATTACTTTACATGAAATATCAGAAACTGCGTTAGAGCAAATTATAAGTAATATTATGTTTAGCCAAATGTTATTTAAATTTATTAATGTTTTTATTTTTAAAACTCTTTATTTAAAAAAAAGTTACTCATATAATATGTAAACCTTGAGGTTCAGTCATTATAACCTCTTCCTTTCTGTTCATAAATCATGGACCTAAATACAGGTCAGTTTTTTAGATTAATCATTTTTAGTGAAGTAAATTAGATATTACACTAAGTTTCCTTTATGAAATTCAAATATATCCTTATTGTGAGTTTGTAGACTATGTTAGTCCAATTTCACAAAAAATGACTTGTTTTCCTTATCCCTCCAAAACTTACATGGTTTATAGATATATTAAAAAATATTATTATTATCCATATAACTATTTTCTAATGATATATAATATATTCCTTGACCATAATTATAGGCAGCAAATTTTTTTATTTTTATTGATTTTTAAAAAATTTTTAAACATTATGATTCAAAAACTTCACATTACTTGAAAAATTAGTGAATACCATTATTGTTATTCATAGAAAGATAACAGTTAATTTACCACCATTACCTCAAAATAAATTGTTATGTTACCATTTTTGGGCATAGAATAGTTACAAAAAGTTCTTTTTTCAAAAAATGTGATAAAAATTTTTATGGATTTGTTTATCTCTTATATCTAAAATAAATGGAGTTTAAATGAAAAATTAGATTATAATATTCTATTTATAATAAAAATTATATTATTTTAAGCATTTGATGAAAAGACAAGTTTTTCAAATAAAATATCATTTTCATCTCCTGTTGGTCTATTAATTAAATTTATAAATGAAGATGGATGATCTATAGGTGGGTATGAAAGTAAATTTGTATTGTAGCAAATGAATAATTATTTGATTATTGTTATGTTGTGTTGTTTTCAAATGATGGATTTTGAAGATATAGGATTACTTCAATTTCCATGTTATTAGTATTGTTGTTAGTTATTTTGAAATATAACTAGTTACAGTTAATAGTTACATTGGTGGGTCATTCCATGTCAAATGAGCAAAAAAATCAAGATTTTCCACCAACCCCTTTCAAATTTAATAAAAGTTCATTTTTCTCTTGTTATATCTTGTTAATTAAATTTTTTTTTCTTTCAACCCTTCTTAAATTACATTCCCACACCTGCCGCAACCTCTCCCAACTTATATATTAAAAGTATCTTTGTCCTCCCAATAAGAACTCAATTTTGAAACCATTTTCTGTTACAATCTTCGTCTTTAAATAAGAACTTAATTTTGAAACAATTTTCTATTACTATACTCGTCTTTTAAATAAGAACTTAATTAACCATTTTTCAATTACGTTACTCATCTTTTAAAGGGAATGACTAAAATACGCGTCCCCGAAAACTACGCGTCCCTACGCGTCCCCAGTCAAAACGATTATTTTCTATTATTTTTAATAAGAAATCTTATTAAGCTTTATAAGATAAGTTAGAAAATGTTTTTTTTAATTTAAAAAAAATACGGTAAGTATATAAAATTTACAAAAATTTATTTTTTTAAAAAATAAACTACGCGTCCCTACGCGTCCCCGGTCAAAATATAGTTTTTTTTTAAAAATCAAAACGGATTCATATTTAGCTTATTAAAAGAATACAGAATATGTAAATATTATATTTTAAACTATTTTATAACTTAGTGATTTTTTCAAAAAACACTTTTTTTTTCAAAAACACTACGCGTCCCCGGTCAAAAAACCGTTTTTTTTTAAAAATAAAAGCAGATTCATGTTTAGCTTTTTAAGGAGATTCAGAAAATTGTATTAATAAAAAAAAAATTAAAAAAAAAATTTTTTAAAAATTTTTTTTTGGCTAAACTACGCGTCCCTACGCGTCCCCGGTCAAAATACAGTTTTTTTTAAAAAATCAAAACGGATTCATATTTAGCTTATTAAAAGAATACAGAATATGTAAATATTATATTTTAAACTATTTTATAACTTAGTGATTTTTTCAAAAAACACTTTTTTTTTCAAAAACACTACGCGTCCCCGGTCAAAAAACCTTTTTTTTAAAAAAATAAAAGCAGATTCATGTTTAACTTTTTAAGGAGATTCAGAAAATGGTATTAATAAAAAAAATTTAAAAAAAAAATTTTTTTTTGGCTAAACTACGCGTCCCCGGTCAAAATACAGTTTTTTTTAAAAAATCAAAACAGATTCATATTTAGCTCATTAAAAGAATACAGAATATGTAAATATTATATTTTAAACTATTTTATAACTTAGTGATTTTTTCAAAAAACACTTTTTTTTCAAAAACACTACGCGTACCCGGTCAAAAAACTGTTTTTTTAGAAAAATAAAAGCAGATTCATGTTTAGCTTTTCAAGGAGATTCAGAAAATGGTATTAATAAAAAAAATTTAAAAAAAAAAATTTAAAAAAAAAATTTTTTTTTTGGCTAAACTACGCGTCCCCGGTCAAAATACAGTTTTTTTAAAAAAATCAAAACGGATTCATATTTAGCTCATTAAAAGAATACAGAATATGTAAATATTATATATTAAATTATTTAATAACTTAGTGATTTTTTGAAAAAACACTTTTTTTCGAAAACACTACGCGTCCCCGGTCAAAAAACTGTTCTTTTTAAAAAATAAAAGCAGATTCATGTTTAGCTTTTTAAGGAGATTCAGAAAATGGTATTTTTCAAGGATTTCTATCATAAATTTTACCCAAGTTGATTTCTATCATAAATTTTACCCAAGTTGATTTCTATCATAAATTTTACCCAAGTTGATTTCTATCATAAATGTAAATTATGATATTTCTAATACCCTTACATTGCAACATTTTTACCTCTTTTTCTCCTAAATATTAATATTTTTATGAAATATATTAATAAAGCATATTTAGTATCGTATACACCTAACTAATTAGTAATTACCCATCAACCCCTTCATTCTGATTAAATTAAATTAATTTTATAAAAAATTTTTTTTAATATATATATACAAATGTATCAAAATATAATATAGATGGGGGGGGCTCAATGGTTAGAACGTTTGCCTTCCGAACTATAAGTTGCGAGTTCGAATCCCGTGTTGCCATAAAAAATTTAAAAAAAAATTTTTTTTTATTAATACCATTTTCTGAATCTCCTTAAAAAGCTAAACATGAATCTGCTTTTATTTTTTAAAAAAAACGGTTTTTTGACCGGGGACGCGTAGTGTTTTCGAAAAAAAGTGTTTTTTCAAAAAATCACTAAGTTATAAAATAGTTTAAAATATAATATTTACATATTCTGTATTCTTTTAATGAGCTAAATATGAATCCGTTTTGATTTTTTTAAAAAAACTGTATTTTGACCGGGGACGCGTAGTTTAGCCAAAAAAAAATTTTTTTTTAAATTTTTTTTTATTAATACCATTTTCTGAATCTCCTTGAAAAGCTAAACATGAATCTGCTTTTATTTTTTAAAAAAAACAGTTTTTTGACCGGGGACGCGTAGTGTTTTTGAAAAAAAAAGTGTTTTTTGAAAAAATCACTAAGTTATAAAATAGTTTAAAATATAATATTTACATATTCTGTATTCTTTTAATGAGCTAAATATGAATCTGTTTTGATTTTTTTAAAAAAACTGTATTTTGACCGGGGACGCGTAGTTTATAGCCAAAAAAAAATTTTTTTTTTTAAATTTTTTTTTTTAAATTTTTTTTATTAATACCATTTTCTGAATCTCCTTGAAAAGCTAAACATGAATCTGCTTTTATTTTTAAAAAAAAAACAGTTTTTTGACCGGGGACGCGTAGTGTTTTCGAAAAAAAGTGTTTTTTCAAAAAATCACTAAGTTATTAAATACTTTAATATATAATATTTACATATTCTGTATTCTTTTAATGAGCTAAATATGAATCCGTTTTGATTTTTTTAAAAAAACTGTATTTTGACCGGGGACGCGTAGGGACGCGTAGTTTAGCCAAAAAAAAAATTTTTTTTTAAAATTTTTTTTATTAATACCATTTTCTGAATCTCCTTGAAAAGCTAAACATGAATCTGCTTTTATTTTTTAAAAAAAATAGTTTTTTGACCGGGGACGCGTAGTGTTTTTGAAAAAAAAGTGTTTTTTGAAAAAATCACTAAGTTATAAAATAGTTTAAAATATAATATTTACATATTCTGTATTCTTTTAATGAGCTAAATATGAATCTGTTTTGATTTTTTAAAAAAAACTGTATTTTGACCGGGGACGCGTAGTTTAGCCAAAAAAATAATTTTTTAAAATAATTTTTTTTTATTAATACAATTTTCTGAATCTCCTTAAAAAGCTAAACATGAATCTGCTTTTATTTTTTAAAAAAAACGGTTTTTTGACCGGGGACGCGTAGTGTTTTTGAAAAAAAAAAGTGTTTTTTGAAAAAATCACTAAGTTATAAAATATTTTAAAATATAATATTTACATATTCTGTATTCTTTTAATAAGCTAAATATGAATCCGTTTTGATTTTTTAAAAAAAACTGTATTTTGACCGGGGACGCATAGGGACGCGTAGTTTATTTTTTAAAAAAATAAATTTTTGTAAATTTTATATAGTTACCGTTTTTTTTAAATTAAAAAAAACATTTTCTAACTTATCTTATAAAGCTTAATAAGATTTCCTATTAAAAATAATAGAAAATAGTCGTTTTGACTGGGGACGCGTAGGGATGCGTAGTTTTCGGGGACGCGTATTTTAGTCATTCCCTCTTTTAAATAAGACTTTAATTTTACAACAACAAAAAATTTTTCCGTGATTACCTCCCAAATGATAATGAGAAATCTTATATATATATACTCTCCCCCTTTTTTTTCTTTATTAATATTTGATAATGAGAAATCTTATATATACATTCTCCCTTTTTTTTCTTTATTAATATTTTCTCGCTATTTAACCCCAACCTATATTGTACATATTGACCCCTTGATCTCTTCTGACCCACCCTTTAAATTTCTCCTGATCAATCCGTCGGCGAAGCTGATCCCTGTGTCTAACACCTTG